ACTTTGCGTTGATGATCAATTTACAAGTTATTTTGAAGGCAGCTTTCCGACAAATATTTGCAATACGGATATCGAAATTCAAATTGTAATGGATCTTGACGTTGAGAAGTTTAACACTTTCTTCACACTATACCCAAGAATCTAAAATTATGATTTCATGTCGCTGTGAACCTTCAACCTATATAATATTTACTGGGTTGGTATTCATATCGATGTTATTGAGTTAGATGATATTTATGGGTATCACCTTACAACATCGTTTTCAACATATGTTGACCCCCGTGCAGTCTTACAGTCAGCGTGTTTGTGTTATCATTAGTATCATACAAGGAAAATGTCATTGACAGAAATATTGAATAAAAGTGGGCCAGTATCTTGGAAACATTTCGGACTTGGCTGGCATAATACTGGTGACTCTACAGTTATCTCAAATGTCAGTATTTGTATAAAGAGAAGACGTGAGCCAATTTAAAAGAATTTGGGAAATATTACTTACAAAATGGTGTCATGAAATACCAGCATGTGGATTTCTACTAGAAAGCCTTTGAAACAGTTCGGGGCACACTGTAATGAAAATCCCAATGTTAGGATTTCCGTGCAGGTTGTCGACTGAACATTGAGTTTCCAGATATGTCGGTAACTGATGAAGATTGTGATCTTATTTGGAAATATATCGATTTCTTGCTTAATGTGGTTGAACGTGTTAGATGCTGGCGGATATCTTCGATGAAGCATAAGACGCTTACCATTCCCGAACAATATGACATACTGTTGTTGTTTATTGGATGTCTCCGTTTAATTATTCCTCTCATTAATATTTTGCCCCAGTTCTATCAAACTGATTTTAGAATTAAGATCCTGTTGACATGTTGATATTCTCTATGTTGTTTCTCCAACAACGAGCAGCTTGATCATGAACGCTTCAAAGACATATATAGTCCAATTCAAGTGAACAATATATCAGGTGGTGGGACACGTGGGAGTCTATTATTTTCCAACTAGCTCGTATTCTGATGCGGATCCGAGTTTGACTAGTCTTTTCGAGGGATCACCTCTCATTTGTATATGGCACTGATTGGTCAGTTTATCACGTGGTTCGAGTTTCGTGTCCCTTCACATTTGTCTTCACTTTTCTTTAGAATGATGTGGAGACTCATTTTGATATCTTTAATATCCACCCAACCCACCTAATCAATTGTTTAATTTTTTGTTTTGTTAAATCATGCAAACTATTCGCATGTCGCTTGTATTTGTTGCTACATGTGCTAATTACTGTTTTTATAAAATGAATGCGTGAACGGTCCATATATATATATATTATAGTGACAAGGGGTTAAAATGTAACTCCCGAGAAGGAAAAACTGAACTTTTTTTCATTTTTTTCATATTCTAGTGACCGCAGATCTTGTAACATATATATTACATAGAAGAAAAATGCGTGTCTTCCCAAAGAATGTTTGGTGATCGAGATTGATCAAGTGTAAAACCAAACAATGACTTGATGAATTCAGAAATATAGGTAGAAATGGCCAGGTAGACATTCGCCTGTCAAGTTGAAACACGCTTTGGTCTCTAATGGGTACCTCAATAACTATGAGGAACTCGCCAAACCTACGCTTGTGCACGTGGCGGATATACGAACAGTACCCACGACCTTGTCCACACGGCGTGTCCTTAATGTTGCCATATTCTCCTACGTTGTGGAATTTCCACGTCAGATTAAATATATATATATATATATATACATATATCACGGCCGTACGTGCGAATACCCATAATTCCACTTGTTGTCAATATATTATGACGTCACAAATAGCTGACGTCATATTCATTGTATCACGGTGATTTCCCCACACAACGCGGTGGACAAACTGGTAAGATGTATTTCATTTTTCTGATTGTTGTTAATGTGAATTACTGCGAAGTATCTCTTAAATCTGGGTGAGAGTAGAGAGAGGAAGGGGGGAGGGAACATGTTATTGACGAATCATGTTTTTGTTGAGGTTTTTAAGTTCCACTGATAGCCCGAGTGGAATTTGGAACTACTGTTTACCCACAAAATGAAACATCAACTATGTTTTCTTGAAACCACGAAATCTGAGCTCCACGAAAATGTGCAAATAGTCATGCAATTAAATGAAGTTCCTCTATTTCAGATTTTTGGTTGTACGATCTGGTTATACTGCATTCACGTCATGACTCAGCGACGCCACATTGTAGTAGATCCCTCTTCTATAGATCCAAAGGTATGTTGTCTTCACAATCATTATTGAACAATTTGCATAATATAGCAAAACGAAATGTTTGTGTTGTAAATTGGCTTGTTGATGGTTCCCGAACATTGAATGACATAGCGCAATGAGAAACGACAACAATAAATACATGTGTAAAGACATACATTTCATTGTTGACAGAACTACTTCCTGTAGATTTTCACAATAAAACAACTACGTAATTTTGAAGGGAATCTACTCATAAATGAAAGCGTTAAATGATGTGTCGTATCAAGGGGAATAAACGAAGCATTTCGTACATTTGAGTAAATTATTACATAGATAAAACTGCCTTGTGATGTAAGAAATCCTTAAATTATTCTTATTCGCAGGACCTTGCGGATGTGGCCAGTCTGGATGGTACAGAAGGGTGCCCAGCTCCACTGTTGGGAAGGTGTTTGTTGGGATGTTACTACTTTTTCAGACCTAGTAAACGACCCATTATTTATGAGATTGACCCAACATTATTCGTGGAGCCCGTTTGGACTGGCACTCATTCGACTGACTTTCAATCAGACGACGAAGTGGTAATCGAAACATTAGTGGAATCTAGGCCATTGCGACTCATGTCTACGGTTTTATTCAGCACCATGGCACCATCTACTAGCTATCCAACGGCTGTGGTCGAGCTACCAGGTCAGTTACCCGACGAATCGAAATCCCCAGCTGAATTAATTTCGAGGCAGATGTTAGGATCACACAATCCGATTCATGACCATGTCAAAGGTTCCATACTAGCAAGATCAGAGAAAAGTGTGCAGGAATCCATGGAACTGTCCGACGTGGCGGCAGTCGACGGCGACATAGGTTATCAACCACCAGTTGAAAAGACCCCGGATGTGTCCGTACATCGATACGAATGGTTCCGATCCACTCTCGGATGGACCAGCTCTGTGTAACTTTTACGACAATGGTGATAAATAGCTACATTCAGAATGAAATTTTAGAATCGTCTCGCGACTTTACCAATATTGTCCAATGTAATTTTATTTACTTAACCCACGATGCAACGGGTTGTTTGATAGCTTGATCAAGTACGTGTACATTGCCAACAATCTTGTGTGTGTATTGTAAATGTTTAAGAATATGAATGTCAAATAACAGACCAGATGACCACTGACCGACCAGATGATGTGGTCACCTGGTTAAATGTGAACGGTTGGTTATCATTTTTATCATGTACACAAACCGTGATGGCTATATCCCAATAAAATATTGATGATTGTTGACTTCTTATTCTTATTTCTTAAATGAATAAAAGAGAAAATAGAGATTGTTTTGTAAAGAGGACAACTTATACAATTTTTGTCAACTTCAAAACACATCACACAACAGACACGTTCCCGATTGAAAGATAGCAAACTGTCACTGAAAGACTTGGTTATAAGAAGATTTAACTATGTTGTCGTCGTAGTATCGCATTTAGTACATTGTTGTTGCAACAACCAAGCAAATGGATTACATGAAAGAATTGATTTGTTGACAGATATCTTAATGAGATATAAAAGTTACGAGTTCAGTGAGATTTGCTCTCTACTATGTATTTGTATTTGATAAATATATTGACACAGTAGTAGTCTCGGAGTTTTCTTTGTTTTAACCGGATCCATGGGTGTCTTTATCATACCCCTCAAATCAGATGATTTTCCCGTACTGTAGTAATGTGTTATACCGTATAGGACATAGAGTTAGACGATGAGAAATTTGCCCACGAAAGAGATGGCTGTAGTTCATACCTGTCCAGGTAAACCACAGGGGTTCTCAGTTGGGGTTTTACTGGCGCGTCCTTCGAAATAACTGGTCATATGCATTCATATGATAAAATGTTATGTTTTTATTTATCAGATATTATTGAACTGAATTGCAACACTCTGATATTTATAATTATCATTGAAGGTGGCTATGTTTGTTTGTGATTTTGAACATGGATATCTGTACAGCATGGATTCAACTTCGAAATAAGTCCGACATGCTATGTACCGTACTATTACGAACTAGTGTAACCTGTATGTAGGCTACAACAGATATTTATATAACCATGGATGTACGAGTCTCAGAGTAAAATGGTACCTACTAAGTTTTAATTTGATAAGACCACTCATCCATGACTGGCCCCATTCTATCTACATGTATGGTTTCACATACCTACGACTCGATAAACGCATAGAGGACGTAACCCATGATATGCTGTAGAAATAGCTGCATACGCGTTTACTTCCTAAACATAAATCGCCATGTTTTCTTTAATTCGGATACCAAAATCAGCCTAGGATTATAATTAGTAATTGTTAACTTTTTCCTTCTCGTGAGCTACACCCCTTGGAAATATAATACATACATATGGACAGTGGGTCGGGAATGCATGCCAAATCCCTGTGCTTGCAAGAAAGAGCTTTGGTGATGTTTGATCTGAGGCGAAAGAACATTATATTACTATGTTGTGTTAAATCATTAATAACGACACAAACATTATACCCGCTTTCTTGGTGATATATACGCGGGAGTATTTCATAGAAATTAAGAAAACAATGTTATACGATCTAATGTTGACTTATAGCTTTGTATTTGAAAACAAACCGTGAAAATGAAATCATAACGTCATTTCTGCCCAGATTGAACGACGAAACCTTTTTTCTGTAAAACTAATGTGTAGGCATCTTTAACTTACTTCGTGGAAGGGAGGTCACTCTGGTAAGACCTAAAACTACATCCGGAAATCTGCTGATGACACGGGCACTGCCAGATTTTCATGATGAACTGAGTGTAAAAGGAACGAATGCTCATAGATTTGTCATGGTATTGTATTTTAACTGTGTCACTTATAACGATGTATGAACATTGATTCACATGATCATGTGATAATGAAAACAATGGCGATTGGCCTCTCGATATTGGTGTAGTGTTGACAGTGTGTATTGTCATTATTCATTTGGTGACGATAAACAAACTCCATGCTAAATGAAACCACTTGAAAATTATACTTCTTTTATTAATATACAGAAATATGGTTCCCGTTTTCTCGTTAGAACTCCACTAGTATGCTGAATACACTTCGCACTAAAACGACGACGCTGCACGTGACCTTAGGTCAGCCTACTAAATTATATGGTCATTAGGACGAAGTCTAACTTGAAAACGAAAGGAAACATCATCCCACATATTAAGCTATAGCTAACCAATGTTGTGGGTTTCACAAAAAACTAATAATGATATAAGTGACATTTAATTGTCTAATTGTTATACACTAAAGTTGTTCGCTTTTCTTTAAACATTAGTATATTGGCAATCATATAGAGACAACTGTATGCTTGTCTAAAACCCTAAGAAGTAGACTGTTCAAGTCTCAGAGAGAACGGACAGAGAGCATTTTTCATTACAAATTCCTTCATATTTTAAGTTTTTTGTGTTTGATGAATGGGTAGATTTAGATTTTTTTTGATTTTGAAATAACAGTAAACAAAAATAAATAAATAAAAACATAAGTACTGTGTACAAAAGCATATCTTGTTTTCTGTATCATGTTTTTTTTTCTCTCCTCCCACAAACAAAACAGATTAATTATCTCACCCTATGTTGTTAGACCACATCTTATATGTCTTTGTCTTTTGGTGTGTAACTCGGACCTTTGATGTCTTACCTCTCTAATGTTGTCCTATAGTGTCTTACTCTGTAATACAGCATTTCACCCTGATGATGTTTTATCTTGTCCTATGATATCTTATCATGTCATATGGTGTCTAACCCTGTGCTATGGTGTCTTGCCCTGTCCTGTAGTGTCTTATCTTGTCCTATGGTGCATTGCTCTGTCCTGTAGTGTTTTACCTTGTCCCATGGTATCTTACTTTGTCCTTCAGTGTCTAACCCTATTCCATGGTGTATATTCTGTCCTATGGTGTATTACCTTTTCATGTGGCATCTTACCTTGTCCTGTGGTGTTTATCCTTGTCCCATGGTGTCTTGCCCAGTCCTATGGTGTCTTGCCCAGTCCTATGGTGTTATACCTTGCCCTATGTTGTCTTACTTTGTCCTGTCATGGTGTCTAACCCTGTCTCATGGTGTCTTTATGTGTCTTGTGGTGTTTTATCTCGTCCTGTGGTATCTAACCTTGTACTATGGTGTCTAACCCTGTCCCATGGTGCTTTGTCCTGTCCTATGAAGCCTTGCACTAAAAAGGTCCCCTATAGAGAGACCTATATGTTGACGATGGTAAATACAAGTTATTCAGTAAGGCAATGAACTTGTCAATTTCTGTTTGTGTCAGGAGTAGTTTGGATTTTCAAATTTAACATCTTGTTGGAACAAATGTCATTTTTTACTTTTTGTTTTTTACAGAAAATGTATTTAACACATCAGAAAATAGACAGATGGTGGTTGGCATAGAATCAATTTGAAGATGTCGATATTCCGAAAGTTGCTTGGAAACAATCAAGATGGTGGCAACCAGCAAAATGCAGGTGCGAAGAATGCTCTTTCATCTGGTCCACAGCCAATGGCAGCTCAGCTTCAGAGAAAATTTGCCAAAGGGGTCCAGTATAACAGTAAGTTATATCTTAACACTTTTTACTCTGATTACATTTCCACACCCAAGTTTTAGTTTAACAGTGTTTAAACTGTATGAAATACATATCCATACATCAAGAGTACTTATGCTATATATCCTCAACACCTACATTTAATATACCTATCCCCCACACCTACATATTATATACATATTTCCCACATCTATATACAATATACATAACCCCACACCAACATATCATAGAGTCTAGAATATCATGCCAATTAAATCAAATGGATTATGCCATGTCAAAATTAAAATTTCTCATTTCAGTGAAAATAGTCATTCGTGGGGACAGAAATGTTGGAAAGACTTGTCTGTTTCATCGCCTTCAAGGTCAAAAGTACAAAGAGGAATACATACCAACAGAAGAAATACAGGTGAATATCATGCATTTATGGCCCTGATTGTTGTGAATTAAAAAGAACAGGACTTACTCTCACCTTGGAGGCACTATCCAGGAAAATACAACTTTTCACTTTCCTGGTGGAAAATAAGATTTTATTTTTTATGCTAAGAGCATTTTCAATGCTCTTCAGCATGTTGCTATCGCCCCTGAGGCTGAGTATCAAGTACTTCGTTTTCATTGGTTCATAAATCGAAAGTTTACTCCTACTCCATCTGCCGGACATTACCGTAATCATTGGATTATCGCCCCTACAAGTTGCTGATGCTAGTCATTAAATGAAACAACCTTATCGACATTTTCTTCATTACCTGTACATCAAGAAAATGTTTTGTGTTGTGTATTAATGATAATCAGACATCAAAATTTGTAAATACAATGACAAAGACTCACGTTTATGGTGGTAAATTTTGCGAGGCGATGCCAATATGGCGGCTTAACTTTCTTTTCCGCGCGATGCATTGTGGGAGTCATATACATTTGTATATCTTTCTATTTTTCTTTTTTCGAAAATTTACTTCCCGTTTAATACTGTTGATAACTATTAAAAATACTTATATATGTAGTTGAAAATAAAAATGAAACTAAAATAAGAATGATTTAGAGTAGCATAAAATTTTGACGGAAACAGCCGGGGTGCTCTGTGCTGCTGGACCCTGAAAGAAGACGGCGGCTGAAAGAAGATGGCGGGTAATTCATGTAGGTAAGTATCACTATATATATATATGTTAGCTGAATTTGAAGTCAATACTTATACTGAACTATCAATTGCATTTTTTGCAACAATTCATTTGGAATGAGCCTTCGCGTCTAGTGAATTTAGGCTGCACTTTTTTTTCAAAATATTTTCAAGACTTTTCCCTTGAAGCAGTATGCATTTGAAAAATGTGATGTAAGCATCTAGCACATTTTTGTTGCTTCCGTAAAGTATTTCAGTATTTTGGAATGGATTTATTTTGGAATGATCGTTTCATAATGGTCTCATCGCAGTCACTTCTGTCAGTAGCCCAACAGATCGGAAATTAACCAGAAAAAAAAACTTATCCGTAATATTGTACTGTACTACTTACGCTACCGTGAATAGATCTAGGAATCTGTCTGGGTAATATATCGATTTTACTTTAAAATATCTGTCACTGTCCGCGCTATTGTAGGTCTAGCTCTTTCAAATTTCTGATCGGAGATAATTTATAAGTACCCCAACGGCCCAAGGCCAGAGTATGAAATCGTACGGGAACTCTACAGCTATGCTAATTTTAAGGTTTACATGTGAAGTTAATATATATAGTTTTAGCTTAATTTTAGTTTTTGTCTTTCTGACATGATGTCTCGTTGATTCTGTTGAAGAGTGATGCATGTGAACGATTACAATATGAAGATTAGGAATAATGAAGATGTCAATTAACATCTGATTCCCGGAAAGTATTTTAATAAAGATTAGGATAAACCTAGCAAAGTGTTAGGTCCCAGTGTGAATGTGTAAAGTTCCAGTGTGAATGTGTAAAGTCCCAGTGTGAATGTGTAAAGTATTATTGGTACAATTGAACTTTTTGATATATGTACTGTATTTGTTCATCTCAGAAATTTCAGTATTATGTCAACTGCGTCCACTTTCAGTTCAACACTTTTGATTCATCAATTTTACCCAGCCCTAGGCTCAATATTTGTCATTAATTGTCGACTGTTTTTTAGAGTTTTGTTTTCATGGTGAATGGAATGAAATGAGATAAATAGTCTAACCAATACCCCTCGAGAGCTAATTAAGACATTGCAGTATTATCATTTTGGGCCTTATTAAAAGTCAAATTGCAACTTTTAAGAAACTCAAGTGACTGTAAGTACAACAATAAGATGTCAATAATCAATGAAATTGATTAATTGAGAAGACATTTTCTTAGTACAGTTAACCAGGCTTTGTAGTGGTTTGTTCAGAACTGTAGTTCTGGTTAAGTAACCATTAATTGTGTCCTTTCAGTTACAATGACATACATTTTTGAAATACCTCTACTGTAGCTAAATATGGCATTTGTAATAGACAGCCAACATTAATTTTGTGATAGACATAGCCAAATTTAATTTTAGGATCAGTTAGGACAGCTACTGTTTGTAACAGGCATGGGTTCAATTACATGATGACGTAATTAATGAAATTACAATTACATTATGAAAATGGCATTGCCATTGCATGACGGTCCAATGTAATTAATTAAATTACACATTACCTTTCAAGTCATAATGATTTTTGAAATACAAACGTCAAAATAAATTATCATACTGCACAGATTTATCTCATGAATTTAACTTTATGATTCAATCTCTGTATGACCATGGTCAAGATATTCTTATTTTCTAGCTGTCCATCACTTCATAATTTGACAGTCCTGAATGTCAAAATAATTAATTATATTTAATATAGACTCCTATTGGGAAGTTCAAGACTATAAGCTTATACAGAAGTGTATATTTCTTGCACATAATCATAGCAATAAAGAAATATAGTTATTTATTTCCCTTACTCTCTTTCAGCAGGTGGATGTCCCTGAAGAAATGAAATCTGGAATGGTAGAAGGTATCTCTTGATTCTTCTAACTTGGAATTGGCCATTGTGACCAACAATGGATTTGAGGACCTTATGGTGGAGAAAAACGTCCTTCTTTCCGACCTCCAATTAGATGTTGAAGATGGTTAATCACTTGAGGATATGCTAACAACCATGTTGCCTTTTAAGGTCACAGTACTCTCTAAAGGCGGCAATATATTTACCATCACAAAAGAAGAATCAACAAATGGCAGAAACTAAACAAATGTGGAAAAGATCATTGTATGCTGCATTTGTAGTAAATTTCTTTACAATCTTCAATTTACTTAAGTAGAAAGATTCACTAGTTATACCAAGTTTATGTAGAAAGGCTCACTGTATACTGAGTTTGTAGTGTACATAGAAAGGTTTACTTATTTTTTTTTTCTGAGTTATGTATATACAATATATATAAAAACTTTTTGTAGAAAAGATCACCGCATACTGAGTTTGTTGTTTACAAATGTGTAGAAAAGATCGCTGTATACCGAGTTTATAGTTTACAATTGTCTAGAAAAATCACTGTATACTGAACATAATACGACTTCTGTTTAAAACCTTCATTTAAACTTAGACATGTATTTTTTTTTATTTATCTTAAAAGTCTACCTACAACAATTTTGTGTATGCAATCTTGTACTAGGATATTTACATGACAAGATTACATTGCTGATCAAAGCATGGAAAGAATACTGAATAAAGAAAACAAGATATAAGCATCTTTATCATGTTTTTATTTTTATTATTATCATTATTATTTTTCCATGATGTCTGTCCACATGGAATTTGTAAGCACTCTTGTGCATTCTTATACCACCAAAAGGGTGGGTAAATCGAATCAAGTTGTCTATCTGTCCATCCATCTGTTTGTCTGTCTGTAGACACATCTTGTCTAGACAACTCCAATGAAACTACAGTAATATTCGGGACAATGTGTAGATGTGCATGCACCATTTTCCCCTGGAAATATTGATTGCCATGGCATCTGGTCAATATAGACAGGTTTTGCATGTCGGTCAACTTCTAAACCTGTGGACCAATTTCAACAAAACTTCGCAGGAATATTAGGGAACATGTGCACATGCCGCTGTGTTTCAGAGGATGTTTTTTTGCAAAAGGTCACCATGGGGAGATAACTAAGGCTGTGGGTGATGGGGGTATTAGCTATTTGGATTACAGTTTCAGTTATCCCTGGGCAATGTGGAGAGGATATAGTAATGATTTTGAGGATTGAATGTAGAGGTCACAGTACTTGCATAAGTACTATATGATTACCTTGTAAACGCATTGAGACCAAGACAGTTAGTATACCTTAATCAAATTTGGAACATGTATCCCTTGTGAGGAGAAGTCGGTTTCTTTAGAAATTCAGGGTCAGATATCAAAGATCAAGGTCACAGTCAAAAAACGGATAGTTGCATGGGGGTGTTTTTCCATTGTATTACCCTCGTTTTTCTATCAAATTTCACAACCTAAAAGATATTCACATCTTGTAAATTTCAAGGTTCAAGGTCACTGTAAGGATGTTAAAAAAAATGATAATACAAGAGGAATAAAATATCTTGTGACAAGTTTTAGAGAACAAAGAATATATAAACATGAAAAATTGGAACAAAGTCAATATCTACTTGAAGATTCCCAGAAAAAGTACAAGGAGAATAAGACCAGGTTTTCTGGAAGAATAGGCATCTTCTATTTTAAGTTATGGTGACAAGTCATGTTTGTTTTAGAAAATTGGCACTCTTATGCAGTCTTTTACAAACAATCTGGAAAATGAAGCTGTCCAATATTTGTATGTAGCATGTTATTTGCATGATGGTCTAACTAATGGTCTTAAACCAATAGGATACACAGTCTTTAAAGTGATAATATGGTGTCCATGATCAACATTCCCTACAATGTATCCAAAGAAATGGACAACTTCCCTATCATTGCATCTTGGAGCCTACTTGGGACATGTATTACATAAGTAATACTACTATGCTTGTTATTTCTGATATCTGCTGGTCATTTTTTATGGGCTGCAATGATTTATTGATTGCATATAGTTGGTTTCAGTATATAGCAAGCTAATAACAAAGAATTTATTTTTTAATGGTCTTAGCATACCAGTACTTTCAGTACTTTGATTGTGTCATATGATGCTTTTCAACCAATTGGTGACACTATTACAAAGATAAGGTAGATCTGTAATATGGCACAGCTAACTATCAAAGCAGCAAACATGTATTGATAAAAATCACAGAATCAGAAAAACAAGTGTTGCAGAAACCAGGTAAATTGAGGTAAATAATTTACCTTAAATTTGCAGGTATGCAGTATCCAGTGGAACTACAAAGCTACAGATGATGTGGTGAAGGTGGAAGTGTGGGATGTTGTCGATAAAGGTCGCAAAAAGAAGAAAATGGAGGGTCTAAAGATGGACCAAGAGGAGGTTCAAGAGGTAACTTGACAAAACAATAGAAAGTTATATAAGTTATAAAACCCTTTTTAGTTAGGATGGAAACCATGTGTTATTATAAAAAACTTGTTGATCTCTTTAGTTAGTTAATGCAGAGAATGTTTGATCTCTGTAGTTAGGGTAGGTATTTTACCTCTGTAGTTAATGTAGAAAATATTTGACCTCTTTAATTGTGGTAGAAGGTGATGGATCTCTGTAGTTAAGGAGGAAAATGTATGACCTCTGTAACTAGGTTAGAAAGTATTGTAGTGAAGTTAGAAGGTGTTTAACCTCTGTAGTATTTGTAGAAAGTGTTTGTCCTCTGTAGTGAAGTTAGAAGGTGTTTAACCGCTGTAGTATTTGTAGAAAGTGTTTGTCCTCTGTAGTGAAGTTAGAAGGTGTTTAACCGCTGTAGTATTTGTAGAAAGTGTTTGTCCTCTGTAGTGAAGTTAGAAAGTGTTTAACCTCTGTAGTATTTGTAGAAAGTGTTTGTCCTCTGTAGTGAAGTTAGAAGGTGTTTAACCGCTGTAGTATTTGTAGAAAGTGTTTGTCCTCTGTAGTGAAGTTAGAAGGTGTTTAACCTCTGTAGTATTTGTAGAAAGTGTTTGTCCTCTGTAGTGAAGTTAGAAGGTGTTTAACCGCTGTAGTATTTGTAGAAAGTGTTTGTCCTCTGTAGTGAAGTTAGAAGGTGTTTAACCGCTGTAGTATTTGTAGAAAGTGTTTGTCCTCTGTAGTGAAGTTAGAAAGTGTTTAACCTCTGTAGTATTTGTAGAAAGTGTTTGTGTAGTGAAGTTAGTGTATTTAACCGCTGTAGTATTTGTAGAAAGTGTTTGTCCTCTGTAGTGAAGTTAGAAGGTGTTTAACCGCTGTAGTATTTGTAGAAAGTGTTTGTCCTCTGTAGTGAAGTTAGAAGGTGTTTAACCGCTGTAGTATTTGTAGAAAGTGTTTGTCCTCTGTAGTGAAGTTAGAAGGTGTTTAACCGCTGTAGTATTTGTAGAAAGTGTTTGTCCTCTGTAGTGAAGTTAGAAGGTGTTTAACCTCTGTAGTATTTGTAGAAAGTGTTTGTCCTCTGTAGTGAAGTTAGAAGGTGTTTAACCGCTGTAGTATTTGTAGAAAGTGTTTGTCCTCTGTAGTGAAGTTAGAAGGTGTTTAACCTCTGTAGTCAGGGTAAAAGGTGTTTTAACTCTGTAGGTAATGTAGAAAAAGTTTGACTACTGTAGTATTTGTAGAAAGTGTTTGTAGGTGCTTGACCTTGCTACAGATATAATATCTATTGTTAGAATTATCATGAACTGCAAATTGCAATCATTATTATGTACTTTTTACTCAGATGGAGGAACCATGTTTGGATGCCGAGTTTATTGATGTGTATAAGGGGTCACATGGGGTCATCATGGTGTATGACATCACCAAGCAGTGGTATGTATTCTCATTACTTTTGTTTTTTATTTGTGTTTTGATAAAGTTACAGATATCTAAGTTCCCCGTCTTGTTACCGTGTACCTGGAACATGACTGTGTGAATGAAATGTTGTTTTCCAAAAACAAGTTTTTTATTAACATAAATTTATTTGGTAAAAGGAAATGAATTTTTTTTTTGGTGAATTAAATGAAATGGTAGACCGAAAAAGGAGTAGTATACAAACAACATATTAGGTGAGAGAGTTTATCTTTTTGAGCACGATCCTGTAGAAGCTTTGCAATACTTTTACAGATGTTAAAAAAACCCATCAGAGACACCAAAATGGTGACCAAGGAAAACAAGTGACATATGCTCAAATTGGACATTAATAATGTATACGTCAGCGAGTGAACTTTGTACAATGTCCCCGTGTGGACAGATCATAGAATTTAGTCACGATGTATTCAGATCAGGTATTGTTGAGCAGCTAGGCATTAATATAAAAATTAGCTTTACTATAGAAATACTGATTTAATAACAAACTAACTGTTAATAAGTATTTGCATATTAATGTATATGAAATGCAGATGTGTCTAAGAAATGATGCTTTTTTTAAAGTATCTTAATACTGGCCAAGGGGTTGGGTAACAGATGATACAGTTGTGACAAAAAATGTTCTGGGAAACTTATATTTTGTAAATGATTTGGTATTAACCAGTTTTATAAAAATAAGGAAATGATAAATAAATCAAAATGATAAAAAATTCAATAAGAAGAGTCCCAGCTGAGCAATGAACCTCCAGCCATATAATGTGTTCCTTGTTTAAAACTATATAGCTATTGTGTCATTAAATTATTGACTGCTTCATAGTACATAGGCAGCTAGCCTACTAATGATATGGTAGGAGCTTGCTTCTGTAGGAAATTGTAGCTGACAAATTGCTGGAGTAATTTCTGTGTCATTTAGAAGCTTAGCAATCCTGATTCTTTACACGCTCATATAATTTAGTGCATGATGGAGCATTTTGAACAAAATGGCAACCTTGACTAACAGAGGACAGTGGAATTTAATAGCAAATATTTTGTCAAGTAAAACTCCTAAAGATGTTCCCGTGTGGTCAGATGATTCATTTAGTCAATATGTACTCAGATTAATTGTTGTATACCTAGTTATTATGGTCATCAAAATAAAAATTAGTATTCTAGAAAAGCAAAGGTCTGATTCAAGCAAAACTTAAGTGGAGTTATGCTTTCGGCTATTCTTTTTTTTTATCAGACTTTGCATATGGTGGCCAGAGCATTTGATTGATTGAAATATAACAAGCTGTAACTCAGCAACCTTGAAGTAAAACTTGATTTTAATATTGATAACCATGTCAAAATTTGTTTGAGACATTTTTTTTTTTCCAAAATCCATATGGCTGCCACAGGAAGTGATATTTAACTGACTAAATTTCGATGAAAATTGATATATATGTGTGGTCAAGTATAAGGAACACAGCAGTGCAATCAGTTTTTTTATCAAAACAAACATGACTGTCATAAGTGTTTAAACTTTGAAATATTGATATTGTTAATGGTGTATGTCAAGGCTGTTCTAAACCTTCCTATGTTTCTGCTACAGTCTGCTGACTGGCCACTGGTTTACCCGAGTCATACATGACTGCCTCTCTGGTCTAGTCATACATGACTGCCTCTCTGGACTACTCATACATGACTGCCTCTCTGGTCTAGTCATACATGACTGCCTCTCTGGACTACTCATACATGACTGCCTCTCTGGTCTAGTCATACATGACTGCCTCTCTGGACTAGTCATACATGACTTCCTCTCTGGTCTAGTCATACATGACTGCCTCTCTGGTCTAGATTATGTGCACCAGAGGTCAAGAATCTTGCCTTCGTGTAGATAGTGTTAGCCGTTGAGTAGAATTGTTTCCTACTTTGATTAACATTAATTTGCAGGGGTAGTTAGAAGGACCTATGTTATGACCTCTGTTATAATTACATGTTTACATTAGGATACCTATCTTACACAAGGTTTTGTAATATTTTATTTTAGGACATTTTCATACATTGAGCGAGAGATTGAGAGCATCCCGTCCCATATCCCAGTGTTAGTACTGGGTAACCATAGAGACATGGGCCACCATCGAACAGTTATAGAGGACAAGGCCCGCTACTTTTGTCTCCATCTCCAACGGTAAAACTTGGTTTAAAACATTCTTTTAATGATTCAGAAATTCATGATTTTAGCAAAAGTTTGAGTGCAGCAAAAAGTCAAAACCAAATTTAACAACTTTAATTGATGCTGATCAGCTCAGTGATATAGAGACAGGAGCAGGATGATTTTAGTATTCAAATGAAATTACTTAGGATGTTTCCTCTATTAAAGGCCGGGCGAGGCAGCCACTGTTAGATATGCTGAATCTTCTATGAGGAATGGATTTGGACTGAAATATCTCCACAAATTCTTCAACCTACCTTTTTTACAACTCCAGGTTTGTATTGATAAAATGCATATTTTTGATACCTTTTACCTAACTTGTGGGTTTTATAGAAAAATTACTTAGTTAATTACCGATAAAAATTGTTGTTACTAAAGCACTTTTCAGATCAGTGATGTATGAACACACATTCAGGAAGACCTTGATGATAGGGTCCTGCTATATTGTATATATCTTGCAAAAACATTTTATTTTCTTCGTCAGAGAGAGACACTGCTGAAACAGCTGGAAGTCAACAAAGAGGACATGCTTTCTACAATTGATGAACTAGATATACATGAAGAAAGTGAAGAACAAAACTATGACGTGTATGTAAAACATTTCTGTATGGTACTGGTCACAAGGGTGGACGAAGCAGTTTAATGTTTAAATATTTTGATGTCCTATTGAGAAGGAATGAAAAAAACTCTCACTATGCAGCTTAACTTAAGTCAAGCTTTGGGATACTATACTCTCTGCTTGACCTTCTGGCGGGGAATTGGGGATCATGAGTGACAAAGAAAACATACTTTGATATTTGTTTTACAGATTCATTGACAGTCTATGCAGCAAACGACGTCAACAGCAGGACAAGTTGTCAGAGAAAGTATTAGCTGATTCTAAACTCAAACAGGAAGTAGAAGGATCAGGGGAGGCAACTAAACCTGGCAGTCTTCCAGGTAATGAAGGATTAGTTTATCAATTCGAAGGTCTCTGAGTGTCCATCCAGCATGAACTTTTTTCCTTTAAAAATTTCTTTCTAAATGACCAAGAGGTCTAGAGTCCTGATATTTAGCCAGTAACATAGTGAATGAAGGACTATCAAATTTGTTCACATAAATGACATTGATCCACTTTGAAGGTCACAAGGGTCAAATGTTTTGGATTTTTAAAACACTCTTTCCAAAACCCAAGAGGCCAAGGCTATTAAGCCAATAACATGCTAGGAAAAAGTACTATCATAACTGTTCAAATAAAAGACCTTGACCAAGGTCACAGAGTCAAAATGTGTTCAAAATTTTCACAATACAGCTGTACTTCTCAACAAACAGAAGGCCCAGGGGCCTGATACTGTGTCAGTAGCATATTTGGATGGAAGGTTATCAAGCATGTTCACATGAATGACTTTGAACCACTTTAAAGATCACAGTAATGTTAAAATTTTTCAACAACTTTTTCACAATAACCAAAAGGCTCAGGCTTCAGACATTGAGCAAGTAGCATATTTGTCTGAAGGGCTTTGAAGTTTGTGTGTCAAGTGTGTTAAGTCCTTCTTTACAATAAGTAATAAGCTCTGGGTCATGGAAATGGTGAAGCGGCATGCTTTGAAAGTTGACTTTGAAGTTTTAAGAAATTGACTTAACTGACAAAGTCAGCACCACAGTTGAGTGATTAAGGCCAATTTTTTTGTATCAAACCTGTGAGTTTTACAGTTGAGGAACTGTTTTGATCATATGCAGGTTATTATTCAAGCCATCAATCCATTTCACAAATAAGGTAATCGATGAAAATCATTTCATAAGTAAACTTAAATCACCAATCAAACACCTGTTGAAAGTTTTAATCCAATTTTCCTGTTAAAATCACCTTTAAGAATTTCAATCCAAATCTAACAGTTATCAGATCAGTATTATGGGTAAGAATATACCAATTTCAGGATGAGAACTTACTAATAAATGAACAATTGCTATTTATTTCAGTTCCAAAATCGGTTTCCATGCCAACCTTACAGAAAACCACTATAATGGAGAGAGAAGCACACTCTGTGGGAACAACCCCAGTACAGGAAAGATTACCATCAGATCATGCCCCATCTCTTGAGCCCCCTACTCCCACACAGGATCAGCAGCAGAAGTCTGGCTTCTTTTCCAGGTTATTCAAGAGTAAAGACAAGAATTTACCAAAAAAAGATTCAATAGATGGTAAGTAAGTCCAATATCTTCTTCACAGTCTGTCTAACTCTGACCTCAACAGTCTGTCTAACTCTGACCTCAACAGTCTGTCTACTCTGACATCAACAGTCTGTCTAACTCTGACCTCAACAGTCTAACTCTGACCTCAACAGTCTGTCTAACTCTGACCTCAACATTCTGTGTAACTCTGACCTCAACAGTCTGTCTAACTCTGACCTCAACAGTCTGTCTACTCTGACATCAACAGTCTGTCTAACTCTGACCTCAACAGTCTAACTCTGACGTCAACAGTATAACTCTGACCTCAACAGTCTGTCTAACTCTGACCTCAACATTCTGTCTAACTCTGACCTCAACAGTCTGTCTACTCTGACATCAACAGTCTGTCTAACTCTGACCTCAACATTCTGTCTAACTCTGACCTGTCTAACTCTGACTGACTCAACAGTCTGTCTAACTCTGACCTCAACAGTCTAACTCTGACGTCAACAGTATAACTCTGACCTCAACATTCTGTCTAACTCTGACATCAACAGTCTGACTAACTCTGACCTAAACAGTCTGTCTAACTCTGACCTCAACAGTCTGTCTAACTCTGACCTCAACAGTGTAACTCTGACCTCAACAGTGTAACTCTGACCTCAACAGTGTAACTCTGACCTCAACAGTCTGTCTAACTCTGACCTCAACAGTCTGTCTAACACTGACCTCAACAGTCTGTCTAACTCTGACCTCAACAGTCTAACTCTGACCTCAACATTCTGTCTAACTCTGACCTCAACATTCTGTCTAACTCTGACCTCAACAGTCTGTCTAATTCTGACCTCAACAGTCTAACTCTGACCTCAACAGTCTGTCTAACTCTGACCTCAACAGTCTAACTCTGACCTCAACAGTCTGTCTAACTCTGACCTCAACAGTCTGTCTAACAATGACCTCAACAGTCTGTCTAACTCTGACCACAACAGTCTGCTAACTCTGACCTCAACAGTTTGTCATTAAATCACACTAATTCTTTTTGAGCATTAAAGCACACTTAGTCCCTCTGACCTTTAAAGCACACTTAGTTCCTCTGACCTTTAAAGCACACTAATTCCCTCTTACTATTAAAGCACAATAACTCCCTCTGACCTTTAAAGCACACTTAGTCCCTCTGATCATTAAAGCACACTAATTCCCTCTTACTATTAAAGCACACTAATTCTCACTGACCATTAAAGCACATTAATTCCCTCAGACCATTAAAGCACACTAATTGTCTCTTACCATTAAAGCACAATAACTCCCTCTTACTTTAAAGCTCGCTTAATCCCTGTGATCTACTATGACACTTTTACTCTTCAGACCTACAAAGTCCCACCGGTACAGACACAGTGAAGAGTGTGGAGGATTTCTGTCCTGATGACGGAGGACTAGACAACAGCTTCCTTGATGACACCAAGGAGGTTAAAGAGAACAGCAAGCCGACACGGAACCATGACAGCGACAGGTAATTTTACATATTTACTATTATAAAATAATTTGTACATAATAATATGTATGCAACATTTTCCTCCCTCATTCTTTCTCCTTATCCTGTTATATAACATCTTTCTCCATTCTGTCTTTCTCCTAATCTGATGATATAGCATTTTTCTCCTTCTGTCTTTCTCCTTATCCTGTGATATAACATCTTTCTCCTTCTGTCTTTCTCCTTATCCTGTGATATAACATCTTTCTCCTTCTGTCTTTCTCCTAATCTGATGATATAACATTTTCCTCCCCCATTCTTTCTCCTTATCCTGTGATATAACATCTTTCTTCCTCATTCTTGCTCCTTATTCTGTGATATAACATCTTTCTTCCTCATTCTTTCTCCTTATCCTGTGATAAAACATCTTTCTTCCTCATTCTTGCTCCTTATTCTGTGATATAACATCTTTCTTCCTCATTCTTGCTCCTTATTCTGTGATATAACATCTTTCTTCCTCATTCTTTCTCCTTATCCAGTGATATAACATTTTCCTCCCTCATTCTTTCTCCTTATCCTGTGATAAAACATCTTTCTCCTTCTGTCTTTCTCCTTATCCAGTGATATAACATCTTTCTCCTTCTGTCTTTCTCCATATCCAGTGATATAACATCTTTCTCCTTCTGTCTTTCTCCTTATCCTGTGATATAACATCTTTCTCCTTCTGTCTTTCTCCTAATCCAGTGATACAGCATTTTTCTTCCTCATTCTTTCTCCGTATCCAATGATGTAACATTTATTCTTTCATTGTCTCTCCAGTGATGAAGATGCAGATAACCCAATGGTTGCTGGGTTTCAAGATGACCTCGATTCAGACGATGATTTTGGCACGGACAACAATTCAAATCAATTTGTTGTGACCATGGAAGACATTGTAGTGACATCATCTGATGAGGAGGTGGTGCCACCTGTGGAGAAGAGTTCATTTGTTACCACGGTGATGAGTGTTTCCAGTGACTCTGACTTAGAAACAAATAAACAAACAATTGTATCATCTTCTCGAAAAATATCAAATGGGGGTAAAAGTGTTACTACAGAATCGAAGACTTTACCTTCAGAAAAAATGAGAGTGACCTCTATTTCATCATCAGACAATGAAGTGACTGCTGGACAACCTGTTGTATTGACAAATCAGGACATTGATTCGGATGATGACAACGTGACAAATAATGTAATGGTGGCTGCGGATGAGGAAATCAGTGACACTGAACCTCCGGCCTCGGGTCTTCAGGTCCAGGCTGGCTTTGATAGCTGGTTAAATCAACTGGAGAGTAAGGTAAAAAAAATCAGTCGTATTGTAGAGGGAAAAAAATGTCACCCTTATTACAGAGGGAAGAAGACATCCTTGTTATAGTGGGTAAAAGTCACTTTTAAAGTTTTTTAACCGATTTCTTTCAAACTTTGTAGGCTTAATCACACTGCATTAAGTTGTGTTTTCTGTAGTGGCAATGTGATTTTACAATTTTGGGAAGAGTTATTGTCCTTTTTTGTTTTCTTCAACATGTTTTTCTTGTCCAGATATTTCCTCCCTGAGTTTTTAACCAATTTCTTTGAGACTGGGTAGGCATTAAAACCACAGCATCTCTATCTCTTTACCATTAAGATATATAGCACTGTTTCCTTTCCTGAAAATTTTTTCCATTATTACCGTTTCCGTCTTTGTATCCTTTTCTATCCAATTATCATATTTCTTTGGCAAGGGAAAGCCATATATTGTTCCAGCCCGCTGTACTCTTTATTTCTTAAGCATTTTAATCTTGTCTGCTGTTATATTGTTTTTCAAACATTTTAATCCTGTCTGCTGATCTCTGTCATCTTTTTAACAATTTTTTTGAAACTGGTAGGTTTTGATATCTGAACATATGGTTGTGCTTACTGTCAGTTAATTTTTATACGCCGTCGGAGGCGGTCGTATATTGGCGTCATCTTCTCCGTCTGTCTGTACATCCGTCCGTATGTCCATTTCTTGTGAATGCAACTCCTCCTAAACTAATCATCACATTTTCATAAAACTTGCTCAATGTCACTAATACAATGGTTCAATGTGCATGAAGGGGCAATTTTACGTTTCATTGACTTTTGTAAGATTTATGATACAGACATGTTATAAGCGATATTTAAAAGGACCAATCTTGATCTTTATATTTTGTGTCCATGGCACTCTTGTTTTGAAATGATATTTGAATTTGACACTATTTTGTGTTAATACTATTCTTTCCATATTTGTATTGACTTTCATTGAAAGTGATGTTTAGTACATGATCAGTGTATGTTGGAGTGTTCTTGTGTTTTTTACAGACAAATATCACAGAGGTAGCTAGTGAACCCAGCAGTCCAGAATTACTGCGACCAGTAGCCAGATCAAGTAATAAATAGTCTATGTGTTGTTTGTGATGGTGTGTGATGTCTCTAAAACATTTCATCATTTAGAAGTGTTGTAATTTACGCTCTGCAAAACTTATCTTATTTGTTGAACTTGTGAACAATGTCTAAGAAATATTTTATGGCTGACAGGTGGCCATCATAGATTTGATTTTGCAAGTTTGTTATTGCTCTTTCTTGAAAAGTACTTGATGGATGTTTCGCAGATTTCCTATGTAGGTTTCCCTTTGTCCGTAGTTTTGCCCATTTAATTTTGGCACCCATTAGAAAAATAATAAATGGCCAACAGGCAACCATCATAGATTTGACGTTGCAAGTTTGTTATCGCTATTTCTTGTGAAGTACAGGATGGATTTTTCTTTAATTTCATATGTAGGTTCCCCTTGGACCCTAGTTGTGCCCATTTAATTCTGGGTCTGATCAGAAAACAAAATGTTCACAGGTGGCCATCTTCGATTTTGACTTTGTAATCTTGAGTAATACGGAATCAATCTTTCTTAAATTTCACCTGATGGTTTTGCAAGATTGGTTTTTAGTCTGACCAGAAAAACAAAATGGCCAACTGGTGACCATTTTGGATTTTGACTTAGAAAGATTGTTATCGCTATTTCTTGAGAAATATTGCATAGGTCTTCCTCAAGGCTTCTCTTGGTCCTTAGTTGTGCCTGTTAGATTTTGGGACTTACCCAAAAAATAAAATGGCCAACAGGCAGCCATTTTGGGTTTCGCTTGAGTAAAGTTTGTTTTCCCTATTTCTTAAGAAGTACATAATAGATCTCTCTCAAATTTCATAAGTAGGTTTCCCTATGTCTCTAGTTAGATATGCCCACTTGATTTTGGGTCTGCTCAGAAAGACAAGTGGCCATCTTGCATTTTGCCAAGTAAGGTTTGTTATTGCTATTTCTTGAGAAGTACTGAATCGATCTATCTCAGATTCATATGTAAATTACCTTATGTCCTAGTTGTGCACATATGATTTTGGGACTGATCAGAAAAGCAAAATGGTTGAAAGGTGGCCATCTTGAATTTTTCACAGTTATGCCTAGATCTTTTTCAAATTTAAAGTGTAAGGGCCCCTTGGTCCCTGGTTGCTCCCGTTTGATTTAGTGACTTCAAGGCAACTGTCTTAGATTTGGCAGGTAAAGGTTTTCATTGCTATTTCTGAAAAGGAATTTTCAAATTTCTTTTCATTAAAAGCAAAAGAAGAGAAGAGAAAAGCAGGGAAAAGATCCAACTTTCAAAGAGCAAATTAAAATCAAACAATGGTGGGCTAAGATCTCTCAGGGATCTCTTGTTCATTATTATTTCAATTGGGATATTTTTAATTTACAAATAACTGTTGAATATTTGATTCATTGGTAAACCTTCCCTTATGTATGATTATTTCATTTTAGAGTCCACTACATCAGGCGAAATGGCAGAGCGGAGTACAAGTGCCAAAAAAAAGAAAAAGAAGAAAAAAGACAAATCCGAGAAGGTCATTATCTGACACAAACTCACATATATACGATACATACAAACTCTCATATATAAAATACACACAAACTCTCATATATACAATACACACAAACTCTCATATATACAATACAAACAAACTCTCATATATACAATACATTGAATCTCTCATTTATACAATACACACACAAACTCACATATATATAATACACATACAAACTCTCATATATACAATACACACACAAACTCACATATATACAATACACAAACAAACTCTCATATATACAATACACATACAAACTCTCATATATACAATACACATACAAACTCTCATATATACAATACATACAAACTCTCATATATACAATACATACAAACTCTCATATATACAATACAGACAAACTCTCATATATACAATACACACAAACTCTCATATATACAAACTCTCATAATACACACAAACTCTCATATATATAATACATACAAACTCTCACACAAACTCTCATATATAAAATACACACAAACTCTCATATATACAATACACACAAACTCTCATATATACAATACACACACAAACTCTCATATATACAATACACACAAACTCTCATATATACAATACACACACAAACTCACATATATACAATACACACAAACTCTCATATATACAATATACTCTCATATATACAATACACATACAAACTCTCATATATACAATACACATAGAAACTCTCATATATACAATACACACAAACTCTCATATATACAATACACATACAAACTCTCATATATACAATACACACAATCTCTCATATATAAAATACACACAAACTCTCATATATACAATACACACACAAACTCACATATATATAATACACACAACTCTCATATATACTCATATATACATACAAACTCTCATACACACACAAACTCTCATATATACAATACACACAAACTCTCATATTTACAATACACACAAACTCTCATATATACAATACACACACAAACTCACATATATATAATACACACAAACTCTCATATATACAATACACACACAAACTCACATATATATAATACACACAAACTCTCATATATACAATACACACAAACTCTCATATATACAATACAAACAAACTCTCATATATACAATACACACACAAACTCACATATATACAATACATACAAACTCTCATATATACAATACAAACAAACTCTCATATATACAATACATACAAACTCTCATATATACAATACATACAAACTCTCATATATACAATACACACAAACTCTCATATATACAATACAAACAAACTCTCATATATACAATACACACAAACTCTCATATATACAATACAAACAAACTCTCATATATACAATACACATACAAACTCTCATATATACAATACATACAAACTCTCATATATACAATACACACAAACTCTCATATATACAATACACACAAACTCTCATATATACAATACACACAAACTCTCATATATACAATACACACAAACTCTCATATATACAATACATACAAACTCTCATATATACAATACATTGAATCTCTTATATATAAAATACACACAAACTCTCATATATATAATACATACAAACTCTCATATATATAATACATACAAACTCTCATATATACAATACACACAAACTCTCATATATATGATACACTGAAACTCTCAGATATACAATACACAACTATATTATAAATATTATTGAGATTGGTTTTTAGTCTAGTGTATATTAATGATGTGATGATATCAAGTGATTATTTATATGCTTTAGGGAGAAGAAAGTTCCAACACAAAAAAGAATAAAAAAAAGGAAAGACAGAAGACTGATAAAGAGAAGGGTGAAATAAGTAAAAAAGAGAAGAAGAAAAAGAAGGAAAAACCAGCTGTGGCAGAAACAGAAAATGCAATGGAGAATATGGACGATTTAGAGGCATTCCTTAATGATGACACTACAACCCAGGGGGGCGGGGCAGGGTATGAGTCACTCTGACCTACCCAGGGGACCGGGAAGGATATTCATCACTCTATTCAACTAACGGGAAGAAGGGAGGAGGCAGGGTGTGAGTCATTGTGATCAACCCAGGGGAGTTAGGCAAGTTATTACTCAGTCTGATCAACCCCAAGAGCGTGAGTAGGATATTCAACAAACTGTTCCACCAATGCTGTAGCAAGAGGAGTAACTTTTTTTATCATGTAACACTGAAAAGGGGAGCAAGCTACGATGTTTTGTGACCACTAAGGCATTGGATGAGAAAATGACCTTCACCCGTTATCAAAAATTGAAGAACCAGAAAGGGACATGATTAGTCGAACTATACCCTGAGTTAGGATTAGCCAAATTGATTCTCTGGGACAGGACAAGTCATGCTGATCCCCTGAGACAGGACAAGTGAAGCTGATCCCCTGGGACAGGACAAGTGAAGCTTATACCCTGGGACAGGACAAGTCATGCTGATCCCCTGGGACAGGACAAGTCATGCTGATCCCCTGGGACAGGACAAGTGAAGCTTATACCCTGGGACAGGACAAGTCATGCTGATCCCCTGGGACAGGACAAGTCAAGCTGATACCCTGAGACAGGACAAGTCATGCTGATCTCCTGTGACAGGACAAGTCATGCTGATACCCATGGGCATCATTAGTCATGCTGATACCCTGAGACAGGATAAATCAAGCTGATCCCCTGGGACAGGACAAGTCAAGCTGATACCCTGGGACAGGACAAGTCAAGCTGATACCCTGGGACAGGACAAGTCATGCTGATCCCCTGGGACAGGACAAGTGAAGCTGATCCCCTGGGACAGGACAAGTCATGCTGATCCCCTGGGACAGGACAAGTCATGCTGATCCCCTGGGACAGGACAAGTCAAGCTGACACCCTGGGACAGAACAAGTCAAGCTGATCCCCTGGGACAGGACAAGTCAAGCTGATCCCCTGGGACAGGACAAGTCATGCTGATACCCTAAGACGGACCAAGTCAAGCTGATCCCCTGGGACAGGACAAGTGAAGCTGATCCTCTGGGACAGGACAAGTCAAGCTGATCCCCTGGGACAGGACAAGTGTAGCTGATCCCCTGGGACAGGACAAGTCAAGTTGATACCCTGAGACAGGACAAGTGTAGCTGATCCCCTGGGACAGGAGAAGTCAAGCTGATACCCATGGGCATCATTAGTCATGCTGATCCCCTGGGTAGGACTAGTCACGTTGATAGGGGCAGATATCCTGTTGTAGGATCTGGGGGCTGTGGTATCACAATGGTATCCAAGGGATTATTACAGAAGCCATAATGTTACCTCAGAGGTTAATCGAGGGTTAATCATACTGTTACCCTAGTTGAGACTGGTGTTTTTTTGGGACAGAGCCAGACAAAGTGTAACCTGTGACATTAATATATACAGTTAAGACATAGCAGTGTTTAGTTTAGGATGTGGAAATCAGCTATAGTCAACAAAGTTTGTAATATGATAGAAATAGAAGTTGAGACATAGCCCAGGCACACAGTAAACCCAGAGGATTGTGACAAGTCCTGTCTCTATAAATTCTGATGGTTAGGGTAGAACCAGTCACTTAATAAACCCAAGGGGTTGTGACAAGTTCTGTCTCTATAAATTCTGATGGTTAGGGTAGAACCAATCACTTAATAAACCCAGAGGATTGTGACAAGTCCTATCTCTATAAATTCTGATGGTTAGGGTAGAACCAGTCACTTAATAAACCCAAGGGGTTGTGACAAGTTCTGTCTCTATAAATTCTGATGGTTAGGGTAGAACCAGTCACTTAATAAACCCAAGGGGTTGTGACAAGTCCTGTCTCTATAGATTCTGATGGTTAGGGTAGAACCAGTCACTTAATAAACCCAGAGGATTGTGACAAGTCCTGTCTCTATAAATTCTGATGGTTAGGGTAGAACCAGTCACTTAATAAACCCAAGGGGTTGTGACAAGTTCTGTCTCTATAAATTCTGATGGTTAGGGTAGAACCAGTCACTTAATAAACCCAGAGGATTGTGACAAGTCCTGTCTCTATAAATGAAGGTTTGGATAGAATCCGTCACTTAATAAACCCAGGGGATTGTGACAAGTTCTGTTGCTGTATAAATTCTGAAGGTTGGGACAGGAACAGTCAAATAATTATCCCATGGAATTGTGACAAGTACTGTCTCTGTATAAATTCTGGGGGTAGGGACAGGAACAGTTACTTGATAATCCCAGGGGATTTTGAGAAGTTATTTCACTGTATATACTCAGAGGGTAGGGACAGGACCAGTCACATGATAATCCAAGGAGACTGTTTCTCTTTTGTTCAGCAGGGGTTTAGGACAAAATATGTTGTATTAGCCAAAGGGCTGGGTTTGCAATAAGTTTCATTTTAAAGTTGGTAGGATTTCATTAATGTAGATTATTTATCAAATTGTTCATGCATCGAGTTATGTAAGAGTGGGTTTGTGTTGTTTAAGAGTCATAAAATGTACGACCAATGAGATAATTTTTGCTGAAGACATTTTTTGTAAATATACTATTTATGAAGTATTGATGTGATTTTAGAGCTGAGGCTATCAATAAAACATGAAGGAGAATGGAATTGTTGTTATTCTGATGGAGTCCGTGACATTTGGTTGGAATGAATATAAACAGTGATATTGTTTATTTACATGGGGGATTTGATTTCACTGGTTTTATTCACAAACTGTTATAATTAATATCAATAGTTTATTTAGCTATATTCATCCAAAAAACCAAGGTCTACAAAGAAGTTTTTTTTTTGAAAAAACGATGCAAATTGAGCCGCATGAAAATATGATAACACAGTGTTTATATACTTGTTTAGAAAGTTGGACCTTTATAGTACAGTTGATGGAGCCTTGGCTTACTGAGGTATGTGGTTCAACACTCCTTACAAATGGTGTTTTGTGTTTCTCCGGAACTAGAGATGTCTTTAGGCAAACATACCTTAAACTTCTTCTCTGCTCCACTATTGCCATTGAGCTAAAAAATTAGGAATGAGAATGATCTGATCACCTACAGTGTTTTATACTAGTGGTACAGTTTCCTCTTGTGATGTTTATTTGTGGTTCAGTTTACCTTTTGTGATATATATTTGTGGTTCACTTCACCTCTTGTGTTGTGTATTTGTGGTTCAGTTCACCCTTGCATATTTGGTTCCTATCATTCAAAGCATTCCCACAAAAGAAAAAGAATTTTCTTTCTTGCTTCCTTCCCCCTCCCCTTATCAAGGGCCAGAGAGACAAGGCACTGTTAATCTTGTTGACTCAAGGATATGTCAGATCATTTGTACAGAATTGATTCTCCATTGCACAAGGATGCTTAAGGCCAAATTGAGACAGAATCCAATGTGCAGGTAACTTTATTTTGTGTAACTGGTGCATTTGATCCCAGGGCAAACTAGGGGAAATAGATACAAATCTTTTAAAATTTTTTTCACTTAGTTTAAATTAAGTGATTTCAAGGAACTAAACCAGGTGAGTGATACAGGCCCTATGGGGCTCTTGTTGGATAATACATAGTACCATTGATTTTACCATTCTTCAAAACCTTTTGACAGTATTTTGCGATATCAACCAGTTAGAAGCATCCACCATGTTTCTTTAGTGTAGTTTCAGGAACCACCTGATTTATCCAATTATAAGCTTTGATAAGTTACACTTTTTGGTCAAGTTTATAATTTTTCTGAGGACTGATAAGCTATCGGCCATTTTACACAAAAATTGGTCTACAGTGACTAGTTTACCATGCCAACAAAATTTCTGCTAAAAAAAAAATGCATGCTTCATTACATTTAGTTCTTGAAGTTCCTCTGTAGTTTCATTGAAATGATATTCATAATTTTAAGAGGAATTTTCCTTCCGCACAAAATTCTGCTAAAGATGGAAGGACAATCCGATTTCAGTATAGGCCTACTCATCTTCGCTACTTTGTGGGGTTGGGGGTTAGATATAACAATATAAAAAGCTCCAATTTCATCAATTTATTTATTTAAATACCTTCCTTTGTTTAACTGATAACAATTCAAATCTAAGTAAAATAGGAATGTTGTTAAGTTTAGCATAAAATTTGTAAAGTGGCATGATTAAATAAGCAGCACTTGTGTGTTACTGTTAAATACAAAGACTAACATATCAGTCAGCAGTGCCAGGAAATCTCTATCAACCATGATACAAGTTTTACAGGAACTACATGGCCATCATGCACAACAGGTTTTAACTCTTTCATCTGTAACTTCCAAAAAGCAACATACCAAAAAATCAAAGAAATTGAATGAACCATGTATCAGTGTCACATACCACTATAGGGCAAAGTTTTGGCTTTAAAGATCTCTCTGCCTCTCTGATCAACATCTGGTAACCAAACAGATGGCTGGCAGTCCATTACACACTGAAGAACTTAACGTAAATGATGTACTGTTAGATCTTCCTGTACCAGTGTGCATCCATATACTTCAGCTTTTTATTAGTTAGTTGTCCACACACTTGTATCCATTTTTTTCAGTTATACAGCATTGTCTTTTCAGAGGTCCTATATCATCGTGACTATATACAACAAATTGAACAATCATTCTATTATGTTTATGAAAGTCTGTTGCCAATCTGGTTGTATGTATACAAGTGGAATGTTTGCAGGTTTTACCATGTACATCAGTGGTATCTATTTAAGTCCAAGTCAGTCAGTAAATCTGTCCACTTAGTTGTATGTACATTAAGTCAGTCATCCATCTTATTGTACCAATTTAAGTAAAGCTGTCCACTTAATTGTATGTATATAAAGTCAGTCATCCATCTTATTGTACCAATTTAAGTAAAGCTGTCCACTTAATTGTATGTATATAAAGTCAGTCATCCATCCAGTTGTATCTATCAGTTTAAAGCAGTTATCAACATAGTTGTACCTATTGAAGTAAAGCTGTCCACTTAGTTGTATGTATATAAGTCAATCATCCACCTAGTTGTATCCATCTTAATTAAGTCAGTTATCCACGTAGTTGGATCTGTTAAAATCACTTAATTGTATGTATATAAAGTCTGATGTCCATAGTAAAATTAATCGTATCTGTCATTGTCCATAAGTCACGTCCTGCCTTTGACTCTTTTTACTTCATCTTCTTTTTCTTCTTTGTGGTTCGGCGTTTCGTCTTAGAGTCAACAATAAACTGGGATTGTTTCTTGATAGCGTTGCGACCCGGAACATCTCCATCATCATCACCACTGTCATCTTCATCTGAAGGGTAATGAAAAAAGCTGACTTATGGATGTAATATTACATGGATAAACACAGTACATAATCAAAATTGAGTTAAAGTTTCATTTTCAGAATCATTATTGATGAAACAGATATATCTAAAGTAGTTACGTGCTTTAATATCTTCTTCAAATCAGTGTTAGGTGACCAAGGGTAAGTTAGCTAATGTTAATACAGCTTGTAAATCTTCCATTATCTCTCAATACTCTGAGAGTTATTTGTATTGAAGAGTGCAAAGCTTTCTTCTTCGTTCAAAGGTTGATATTGATCTCAACAGGCCCTGTACATGTCAAAAGATTGATCTCAACAGCCCTACACATGTCAAAAGATTGATCTCAACAGGCCCTGTACATGTCAAAAGATTGATCTCAACAGCCCTACACATGTCAAAAGATTGATCTCAACAGGCCCTGTACATGTCAAAAGATTGATCTCAACAGCCCTACACATTTTAACAGATTGATCTCAATAGGCCCTACACATGTCACAGAGATAGTAGTCGGTGACATTCTTCACTGCTTCATTTTGACTGGTCATTTCTGTATGTAGGTCTAAAGATGACCGCTGAGACTGACAGTACAGCAGTCATATGAAGATAATTAAGGACTGTGGCTTGAAGTAAAATGTGATAGGAATGAATTATAGGAGATAAAGGTCATCAATCACAGTATATACCTGTGTTATGGTTCCTATATGTGAATCGTGGTCTATAGTTGGTTGAGTGGGGCAGTATATGGCATGTGATATGTGGATTATAGATCATTCAATGGGGTAACACATGTATATATACTGTGATTTTATGTATTTGATAAGTGGATAGATGCAAAATTGTGTTTGACAATCAAATAAAAATAAAGTACATATTTTCATGCATAATAAAATGTCAAAATAAAACCAACTTGAAACTGTTCCACTCAAAATAAAAAGTTACTGTAAATAAAAGGCACACATAGACGTGATGAATATGATGAGAGTGGGTTGGAGCCCAGCAACCGCCAGGATTGTTTGACATATTCACAGACAAACAACCTGGTAACCATGACAACCATGGTGTCCAAATGTTGCTAGACTCGACTACCCTCTCTACTCAACCCAACAATGGCCTAGTCTGATTATTGTTGGAGTCCTCATACTGCCTCAGTGTAGGAGCCTCCCTGATAATCTTAAGTCTACATGAGGGTGGAGAAGAGAGGATATCATTTGGTATTGTGAGAAGAGCAAGGCAGGAAACCCTGTGTAAAAACTTACATCCTCCATAAAGGGTTTGCGAAACATCTTCATACAGTAAAACCATACAAGTTAATACATGTTAAAGAAAGATATCACCATTTCTGCACAGTTAAATCACAAAGTTGTTATTACATATGTTAGCACCATCAACATGTCAGCATCATGAAATATTAGCACAAAATTTTCACTGTAACAACACATACCAGTTTGATAGCATGATTTGTTATGTCCCCGTTATGTGATGTACAGTGAAACACAGCGATAAACTCCTGTGTATGACAGTTACGCACAGCGATACAGTTTTTGTGTTATATTCTTGTCCTATATGACAGTAACACACCTAGATATAGCATATGTAACATTAGGAAAGAATGGTAAATTATCATTCATTTATACATATAAGATATTAGTGAAACCTTGATGATTTGACCATACCACACTAGGTGTAAAAACGTACCATCAAATCCCATATCCCGTTCCTTTTGTGGCAGCTTCACTCTTGTATTGTACTGTGGCAGTTTCCCTTCCATGCTTGCATGGAACTAAAAAATAATCGGGATATTATTTGAAACTGGAAAAATACATAACATCTAATATAGCAACTATTTCAAAAAGATCATGATAATAATCAATATCTTAAGCTATTAAATAGGTCTGAAAGATGTTCATTGTCACATAGCACCCCTTAGTAACTTCTACTACCAATATTACAGCATCCCCCTTGTAGCTTCTACTGATATTACAGCATCCTCCTTATAATTTCTACCAATATTACAGCATCCTCCTTATAATTTCTACCAATATTACAGCATACCCCTGATTACTTCTACTGATATTACAAAATCCCCCTAGTAACTTTTACCACACATATTACAGCATTCTTCTTATAATTTCTACCACTATAACAGCATCTCCCTTATGATTTCAATTGATATGATAGTGGTCCCCTAGTAACTTCTATAAGCGATATTACAACACATGCCTGATACTTCTCTAAATAACACAGTGTTCCTCTAGTAACTACAACAAGTATTATAGCTTCACCAGAGTAACTTCTACAGATATAAATGTGTTCCTCTAGTAACGACAAATAATACAGTTCATCAGAGTAACTTCTACAGACATTACAGTGTTCCTCTAGTAACAACAAATATTACAGCTTCCCCAGAGTAACTTCTACAGATATTACAGTGTTCCTCTAGTAACAACAAATATTACAGCTTCCCCGGAGTAACTTCTACAGACATTACAGCTTCCCCAGAGAAACTTCTACAGATATTACAGTGTTCCTCTAGTAACAACAAATATTTCAGCTTCCCCAGAGTAACTTCTACAGATATTACAGTGTTCCTCTAGTAACAACAAATATTACAGCTTCCCCGGAGTAACTTCTACAGACATTACAGCTTCCCCAGAGAAACTTCTACAGATATTACAGTGTTCCTCTAGTAACAACAAATATTACAGCTTCCCCAGAGTAACTTCTACAGACATTACAGCTTCCCCAGAGTAACTTCTACAGACATTACAGTGTTCCTCTAGTAACAACAAATATTACAGCTTCCCCAGAGTAACTTCTACAGACATTACAGTGTTCCTCTAGTAACAACAAATATTACAGCTTCCCCAGAGTAACTTCTACAGACATTACAGTGTTCCTCTAGTAACGACAAATAATACAGTTCATCAGAGTAACTTCTACAGACATTACAGTGTTCCTCTAGTAACAACAAATATTTCAGCTTCCCCAGAGTAACTTCTACAGACATTACAGTGTTCCTCTAGTAACAACAAATATTTCAGCTTCCCCAGAGTAACTTCTACAGACATTACAGTGTTCCTCTAGTAACGACAAATAATACAGTTCATCAGAGTAACTTCTACAGACATTACAGTGTTCCTCTAGTAACGACAAATAATACAGTTCATCAGAGTAACTTCTACAGATATTACAGTGTTCCTCTAGTAACGACAAATATTACAGCTTCCCCAGAGTAACTTCTACAGACATTACAGCTTCCCCAGAGTAACTTCTACAGATATAACAGTGTTACTCTAGTAACAACAACTATTTCAGCTTCCGCAGAGTAACTTCTACAGATATTACAGTGTTCCTCTAGTAACAACAAATATTTCAGCTTCCCCAGAGTAACTTCTACAGATATTACAGTGTTCCTCTAGTAACAACAAATATTATAGCTTCCCCAGAGTAACTTCTACAGACATTACAGTGTTCCTCCAGTAACTTTTACTGCAGATATTACAGTGTTCCTCTAGTAACAACAAATATTACAGCTTCCCCAGAGTAACTTCTACAGACATTACAGTGTTCCTCTAGTAACAACAAATATTACAGCTTCCCCAGAGTAACTTCTACAGATATTACAGTGTTCCTCTAGTAACAACAAATATTACAGCTTCCCCAGAGTAACTTCTACAGACATTACAGTGTTCCTCTAGTAACAACAAATATTATAGCTTCCCCAGAGTAACTTCTACAGATATTACAGTGTTCCTCCAGTAACTTTTACTGCAGATATTACAGTGTTCCTCTAGTAACAACAAATATTATAGCTTCCCCAGAGTAACTTCTACAGACATTACAGTGTTCCTCTAGTAACAACAAATATTTCAGCTTCCCCAGAGTAACTTCTACAGATATAACAGTGTTCCTCTAGTAACAACAAATATTTCAGCTTCCCCAGAGTAACTTCTACAGATATTACAGTGTTCCTCTAGTAAACAAGCTTCAAATATTACAGTGTTCCCCAGTAACAACAAATAACTTCTACAGATATTACAGTGTTCCTCTAGTAACAACAAATATTTCAGCTTCCCCAGAGTAACTTCTACAGACATTACAGTGTTCATTTAGTAACAACAAATATTACAGCTTCCCCAGAGTAACTTCTACAGATATTACAGTGTTCCTCTAGTAACAACAAATATTTCAGCTTCCCCAGAGTAACTTCTACAGATATTACAGTGTTCCTCTAGTAACAACAAATATTATAGCTTCACCAGAGTAACTTCTACAGACATTACAGTGTTCCTTCCCCAGAGTAACTTCTACAGATATTACAGTGTTCATTTAGTAACAACAAATATTATAGCTTCCCCAGAGTAACTTCTACAGATATTACAGTGTTCCTCTAGTAACAACAAATATTACAGCTTCCCCAGAGTAACTTCTACAGATATTACAGTGTTCCTCTAGTAACAACAAATATTACAGCTTCCCCAGAGTAACTTCTACAGACATTACAGTGTTCCTCTAGTAACAACAAATATTACAGCTTCCCCAGAGTAACTTTACAGATATTACACTAGATATTACAGCTTTAACTTCTACAGATATTACAGTGTTCCTCTAGTAACAACAAATATTATAGCTTCCCCAGAGTAACTTCTACAGATATTACAGTGTTCCTCTAGTAACAACAAATATTATAGCTTCACCAGAGTAACTTCTACAGATATTACAGTGTTCCTCTAGTAACAACAAATACAGCTTCCCCAGAGTAACTTCTACAGATATTACAGTTCCTCTAGTAACAACTTCCCCAGAGTAACTTCTACAGACATTACAGTGTTCCTCTAGTAACAACAAATATTATAGCTTCCCCAGAGTAACTTCTACAGACATTACAGTGTTCCTCTAGTAACAACAAATATTATAGCTTCCCCAGAGAAACTTCTACAGACATTACAGTGTTCCTCTAGTAACAACAAATATTTCAGCTTCCCCAGAGTAACTTCTACAGACATTACAGTGTTCCTCCAGTAACTTTTACTGCAGATATTACAGTGTTCCTCTAGTAACAACAAATATTATAGCTTCCCCAGAGTAACTTCTACAGACATTACAGCTTCCCCAGAGAAACTTCTACAGATATTACAGTGTTCCTCTAGTAACAACAAATATTACAGCTTCCCCAGAGTAACTTCTACAGATATTACAGTGTTCCTCTAGTAACGACAAATATTACAGCTTCCCCAGAGTAACTTCTACAGACATTACAGTGTTCCTCTAGTAACAACAAATATTACAGCTTCCCCAGAGTAACTTCTACAGACATTACAGTGTTCCTCTAGTAACAACAAATATTACAGCTTCCCCAGAGAAACTTCTACAGATATTACAGTGTTCCTCTAGTAACAACAAATATTACAGCTTCCCCAGAGAAACTTCTACAGATATTACAGTGTTCCTCTAGTAACAACAAATATTACAGCTTCCCCAGAGTAACTTCTACAGATATAACAGTGTTCCTCTAGTAACTTTTACTGCTGATTTAACAGTGTGGCCTACAAACCTCTTCTTCCTCCATCTGTTTAGTGAGATCATTGATATCCTTGCCATCCAGTTCCTCAAGCAGTTTGAGGAGCTTCTCCTCACAAAGAGACAACTGATCAAGGACATACTCATCAGAAGTGGGTGCAATCTGTGCTGTTGGAACGTGTCCCTTGTTCTACAAATTTAAATTTCCAACTTATTTCAAAGTACAGCAAATTTTGTAACCATATCCTCCATTTACAGACCACAATATCATTTTTTACCAGGATAAAAAGTTTATATGATGAAGTTTGTAACTAACAGTCCTCGGATGTTGTAATTTATGACTTACATTTAAGAGATTGTGTAATTTATGACTTACAGATAAGAGATAGTGTAATTTATGTAGTGTAATTTATGACTTACAGTTAAGAGATTGTGTAATTTATGACTTACAGTTAAGAGATTGTGTAATTTATGACTTACAGTTAAGAGATTGTGTAACTTATGACTTACAGTTAAGAGATTGTGTAATTTATGACTTACAGTTAAGAGATTGTGTAATTTATGACTTACAGTTAAGAGATTGTGTAATTTATGACTTACAGATAAGAGATAGTGTAATTTATGACTTACATTCCACAGATTATGAAGTTCTTACTTACAGCTTTAAGATGGTGCAGTTTGTCAGTCAGATGCTCCACACCAGCCTTTACAGAAACCATGATTGTGCTGTTCCTGTGAAGTGTCTCCTCTGTCTCTTCCTGTCGTAACTCCTCCTTTTGTAGTTGGGTCTGGAACTCCTCCAGCATTCTCTGTCCACTGCAATATTATGTAAAGTTTATAAAAAATGTCCAGCACAACATGATATCAAGTCTTCAACTGGATTGTATAAATAACACAGGAAAGAAATTCCCGACTTACCTGGACAGTTTAGCATCTCCAGAGTATTTCATCTCCTCGAATTCCTGTTGAAACTTCTCCTTTTCCTCGCGCAGTCTTGTAATGGATTTTTCATTCTGAGCCTTTAGATCTTCAAGGTGTTTAGTAGTAGTCTCCTGGCCCTCAAATCGAAGGACAACATCCTGTTGTAAGTATAAAGATCTGATGCTAGTATAAAGTGTCAAAACATCTAGCTAGTGTAAAACGTAAATTTCTGTAGCCTGTTTAAAGTGTCAAAACCCATCCCTGATGTTACTAAATGACTAACCGTGGTTTCGGACACACCAGTTGTCTCCTTGATTTTTCGGAAGGCTTCCTCATATGAAGTAATCTTCTGCTGTTGTTCCTCACCCTGCAGGGCCTGCTTCTCCTGGGGGTTAATTTCGTCTGCCTGGATAGACCCCCTCTGGGCCTGCAGTATATAATGAACAACTTCAATGTTACTGGAGATTCAAAGTCATAATTAATGCCACAAATACACCTTTAAAATACGGAATCAATACAAGTATTCGATGATTTGTATTTGTATAACAACAGGTGACAGTAAACCTACAATTCTGCGTTCGATTCTCTCGTGTTGTATCTTTTTGTCGTCTGCTTCCTTCTTCATTTTCTGTAGTTCTATCTCTCGTTGTTTTCTCTCTTTATACACAACTGTCTCATTCTTGGTTAATTCTGCCTGAGCAGCCTCTTTAGAGATCTGGGCATCATCATGCATGGCCTTCAGTTCCTTAAGTTCACTTCTAGTGCTACGAATCTCTGCTTCCATAGCATCAAGTATACATGGGAATTTCTCAGCTTCCTACAAAAAACCGTTAAAGTGAATGCTATTTATAAGTTTTGTTGTTTTAACAAAACTTTGTCTTCAATGCAAATGCTTAATTTTACCACATTCAGAAAAAAATTAACAATTATTTTTAAAATTTTCCATGTATCACAAACATTTTGATAAGATTACAGAAATGTTTTTTTTTGTGACTTGCTTAATTTACCACAAGTCATCACACATTAAAGTACTGTTGTAAACAATGTTGTAAACCTACCTCTTAGCGCATGGTCTAAAAACAATCAGTCCTTTACAGATTCTTTATCCCTCCTACAGTGTGATACCTAGGAATCAGTTGATTACAGATTCTGTACAAAAACTACAGTGTGATACCTGAGGAATCAGTTGATTACAGATTCTGTACAGGTCCTACAGTGTGATACCCAGGAATCAGTTGATTACAGAGTCTGTACAGGTCCTAAAGTGTGATACCTAGGAATCATTTGATTACAGATTCTGTACAGGTCCTACAGTGTGATACCTAGGAATCAGATTACAGATTTGAGGTCCTACAGTGTGATACTAGGAATTTTTGTACAGGTCCTACAGTGTGATACCTAGGTGTGATAGTGTGATACCTAGGAATCAGTTGATTACAGATTCTGTATAGGTCCTACAGTGTGATACCTAGGAATCAGTTACAGATTCTGGAATCAGTTGATTACAGATTCTGTACAGGTCCTACAGTGTGATACCTAGGAATCAGTTGATTACAGATTCTGTACAGGTCCTACAGTGTGATACCTAGGAATCAGTTGATTACAGATTCTGTACAGGTCCTACAGTGTGATACCTAGGAATCAGTTGATTACAGATTCTGTACAGGTCCTACAGTGTGATACCTAGGAATCAGTTGATTACAGATTCTGTACAGGTCCTACAGTGTGATACCTAGGAATCAGTTGATTACAAATTCTGTACAGGTCCTACAGTGTGATACCTAGGAATCAGTTGATTACAGATTCTGTACAGGTCCTACAGTGTGATACCTAGGAATCAGTTGATTACAGATTCTGTACAGGTCCTACAGTGTGATACCTAGGAATCAGTTGATTACAGATTCTGTACAGGTCCTACAGTGTGATACCTAGGAATCAGTTGATTACAGATTCTGTACAGGTCCTACAGTGTGATACCTAGGAATCAGTTGATTACAGATTCTGTTGATTGATTACAGATTCTGTACAGGTACTACAGTGTGATACCTAGGAATCAGTTGATTACAGATTCTGTACAGGTCCTACAGTGTGATACCTAGGAATCAGTTGATTACAGATTCTGTACAGGTCCTACAGTGTGATACCTAGGAATCAGTTGATTACAGATTCTGTACAGGTCCTACAGTGTGATACCTAGGAATCAGTTGATTACAGATTCTGTACAGGTCCTACAGTGTGTACCTAGGAATCAGTTGATTACAGATTCTGTACAGATCCTATAGTGTGATACCTAGGAATCATTTGATTACAGATTCTGTACAGGTCCTACAGTGTGATACCTAGGAATCAGTTGATTACAGATTCTGTACAGGTCCTACAGTGTGATACCTAGGAATCAGTTGATTACAGATTCTGTACAGGTCCTACAGTGTGATACCTAGGAATCAGTTGATTACAGATTCTGTACAGGTCCTACAGTGTGATACCTAGGAATCAGTTGATTACAGATTCTGTACAGGTCCTACAGTGTGATACCTAGGAATCAGTTGATTACAGATTCTGTACAGGTCCTACAGTGTGATACCTAGGAATCAGTTGATTACAGATTCTGTACAGGTCCTACAGTGTGATACCTAGGAATCAGTTGATTACAGATTCTGTACAGGTCCTACAGTGTGATACCTAGGAATCAGTTACAGATTCTGTACAGGTCCTACAGTGTGATACCTAGGAATCAGTTGATTACAGATTCTGTACAGGTCCTACAGTGTGATACCTAGGAATCAGTTGATTACAGATTCTTACAGATTCTGTACAGGTCCTACAGTGTGATACCTAGGAATCAGTTGATTACAGATTCTGTACAGGTCCTACAGTGTGATACCTAGGAATCAGTTGATTACAGATTCTGTACAGGTCCTACAGTGTGATACCTAGGAATCAGTTGATTACAGATTCTGTACAGGTCCTACAGTGTGATACCTAGGAATCAGTTGATTACAGATTCTGTACAGGTCCTACAGTGTGATACCTAGGAATCAGTTGATTACAGATTCTGTACAGGTCCTACAGTGTGATACCTAGGAATCAGTTGATTACAGATTCTGTACAGGTCCTACAGTGTGATACCCAGGAATCAGTTGATTACAGATTCTGTACAGGTCCTACAGTGTGATACCTAGGAATCAGTTGATTACAGATTCTGTACAGGTCCTACAGTGTGATACCTAGGAATCAGTTGATTACAGATTCTGTACAGGTCCTACAGTGTGATACCTAGGAATCAGTTGATTACAGATTCTGTACAGGTCCTACAGTGTGATACCTAGGAATCAGTTGATTACAGATTCTGTACAGGTCCTACAGTGTGATACCTAGGAATCAGTTGATTACAGATTCTGTACAGGTCCTACAGTGTGATACCTAGGAATCAGTTGATTACAGATTCTGTACAGGTCCTACAGTGTGATACCTAGGAATCAGTTGATTACAGATTCTGTACAGGTCCTACAGTGTGATACCTAGGAATCAGTTGATTACAGATTCTGTACAGGTCCTACAGTGTGATACCTAGGAATCAGTTGATTACAGATTCTGTACAGGTCCTACAGTGTGATACCTAGGAATCTAGGAATCAGTTGATTACAGATTCTGTACAGGTCCTACAGTGTGATACCTAGGAATCAGTTGATTACAGATTCTGTACAGGTCCTACAGTGTGATACCTAGGAATCAGTTGATTACAGATTCTGTACAGGTCCTACAATGTGATACCTAGGAATCAGTTGATTACAGATTCTGTACAGGTCCTACAGTGTGATACCTAGGAATCAGTTGATTACAGATTCTGTACAGGTCCTACAGTGTGATACCTAGGAATCAGTTGATTACAGATTCTGAATCAGTTGATTACAGATTCTGTACAGGTCCTACAGTGTGATACCTAGGAATCAGTTACAGATTCTGTACAGGTCCTACAGTGTGATACCTAGGAATCAGTTGATTACAGATTCTGTACAGGTCCTACAGTGTGATACCTAGGAATCAGTTGATTACAGATTCTGTACAGGTCCTACAGTGTGATACCTAGGAATCAGATTACAGATTCTGTACAGAGTTGATTACAGATTCTGTACAGGTCCTACAGTGTGATACCTAGGAATCAGTTGATTACAGATTCTGTACAGGTCCTACAGTGTGATACCTAGGAATCAGTTGATTACAGATTCTGTACAGGTCCTACAGTGTGATACCTAGGAATCAGTTGATTACAGATTCTGTACAGGTCCTACAGTGTGATACCTAGGAATCAGTTGATTACAGATTCTGTACAGGTCCTACAGTGTGATACCTAGGAATCAGTTGATTACAGATTCTGTACAGGTCCTACAGTGTGATACCTAGGAATCAGTTGATTAAAGATTCTGTATAGTGTGTACACAGGAATCAGTTGATTACAGATTCTGTACAGGTCCTACAGTGTGATACCTAGGAATCAGTTGATTACAGATTCTGTACAGGTCCTACAGTGTGATACCTAGGAATCAGTTGATTACAGATTCTGTACAGGTCCTACAGTGTGATACCTAGGAATCAGTTGATTACAGATTCAGTGTGTACAGGTCCTACAGTGTGATACCTAGGAAATCAGGAATCAGTTGATTACAGATTCTGTACAGGTCCTACATTGTGATACCTAGGAATCAGTTGATTACAGATTCTGTACAAGTCCTACAGTGTGATACCTAGGAATCAGTTGATTACAGATTCTGTACAGGTCCTACAGTGTGATACCTAGGAATCAGTTGATTACAGATTCTGTACAGGTCCTACAGTGTGATACCTAGGAATCAGTTGATTACAGATTCTGTACAGGTCCTATAGTGTGTACACAGGAATCAGTTGATTACAGATTCTGTACAGGTCCTACAGTGTGATACCTAGGAATCAGTTGATTACAGACAGTGTGATACCTAGGAATCAGTTGATTACAAATTCTGTATCCTACATGTGATACCTAGGAATTAGTTGATTACAGAAAGGTCCTACAGTGTGATACCTCGGAATCAGTTGATTACTGATTCTTTACTGTTCCTATTGGGTTTACCTAGGAATCAGTTGATTACAGATTCTGTACAGGTCCTACAGTGTGATACCTAAAAACAAACTGAGAGGTTTCAAAGTAAGCCTTTCGATCACCCTCTGCAAACAAAATAAATTAGTAAGAAATTGTGAACTGCTGAAATGCAAACACTTTATTGTAATAAAATGTTATCTTTTAGATGCTGGAATAGACACCATCCTAACTTTCATCTATATTCAATAAAGTAATCATTACCTGTGTTAAGAAAACATAAGTCATTTAAAAATATTTCATGCCAACTATATAGCAATTAAAGCGACATGACCACAATGGTCACAATTTGAATGGATTAATATTATGAAAATAAACGAGCTTAATAATGTGTATCCTGATGAATACCATTGCATATCAATTCGAACATAGTATAAATTTCAAATCTTTATTTTTCAGAAAGCCTGGAATTATGAAGAATAACATTAAGTCGACTGTAATGTACAGGTCAGTAATTTTCTAGGTGTAGCAGTGGCATGCACTCCGTTATTTTGTATCGCACTCATGGTCAACCTAGTCCTAGGCCATCTTTCTCTTGACTTGAAAAGAAACGGTCTTACCAAGGAGGGCGATCTTGGCCTTCAGTTCATCAATTAGCACCGTCATAGGACGCTGCATCGCCGACATGACAGGCATTTTCGGAGAATTTTCTGTGTTCGTCAACAGAAAACGTTACTCCTATGTGTGTTTTACAACTGCAAAATGAAGTGTTTTGACGTATCCAAGGTGCCCTCGTTATGGCGCATGCTCAATAAGGGAGATAACTCTTTCTGCAAATCACTCGCCGTACCGGCCAAAAAGTTTCTACGACAACATGGGCAGAAATTACGTTTATTATATACATCTTCTCTCCCAGTTTTAATATTTTTCATGTTTTCTAATACAACACCGTAAAAAGAGATCGATTTCCAATGCACAGCGTTTATTTCATGGTATCTAAAACCATTATTAACAGTATTTAAGAAATCAGTATATTACAGTACTGTGAACAAAAGGGATTTGTTCTAGACACGTTGCTTGATTTTAAAATGATTTAAAAAATGATTTTAAATCACTTCTGCCATTTCCGTTTCTTAAAGACTCGCCGGACATAAGGCTATGAAATTGCCATTTTTAGAGTCAATGCTCATTCTGTTTTTTTTGTTCATAATTTGAATTATTAATCAGTCTTTTGTAAACATTTAAATTAACTTAACTTACTTACCAGGTTATGAGTTCCCTCTTGTAGTTAAATATTGCCCTAGTCAAATGAAATCAAAAGTCATTGAGTAGATTTACCCAACACAGCTCCTTTGTCCTTGAGGTTGGTGGACAAAAGATGTTCCTGGTCAAGATCTACAATAATCTTGAAAACTCCTTTTCCTTGTCATTAAAGTGCCATTCTCTTCTGTCATAAGACCTTATAAGACAGAAATTATACTGGATTTCCTTTAATTTTCCATTCAGAAGAAAACATATTTCTTCACCAGGCCATCCCCAATCTGTACCCCAAGAAAATATTGATGAAGAGACATGGACAAGGGGGCACACCATTCATTTATTCGGAAAGGAAAACCCTCATTCTTCCTGGAAACAGTGTTCTTTTGTCCAATTATTCAAGAATTTAGACAGTTTTCTTTATTTTCTCATTAGCTTCTGTCCTTCTGCCAACAGGTGTATTGCCATCTTATAATGGACTATGTGTAGATGAAACACTGATGGTATGCCCAGTTTTGCATTTTTTAGCCCAACATCTAATAGATGGTGGGTTATTCAAATCGCCCTGCGTCCGTGGTCCGTCCGTCCGTAAACAATTCTTGTTACCGCTATTTCTGGAAAAGTACTCAACGGATCTTTCTCAAATTTCATATGCAGGTTCCCCTTGGTCCCTAGTTGTGCATTGTACCTTTTTTGGACTGCTTCGCATTCAAGATGGCCGACAGGTGGCCATCTTGGATTTTGGAAGTAAAAGTTTGTTACAACACTATTTCTGGAAAAGTACTGGATGGATCTTTCTCAAATTTCATATGCAGTTTCCCCTTGGTCCCTAGTTGTGCATTGTACCTTTTTTGGACTGATTCGAATTCAAAATGCCCGACAGGTGGCCATCTTGGATTTTGGATGTAAAAGTTTGTTACTGCTATTTCTTGGAAAGTACTGGATAGATCTTTCTCAAATTTCATATGCAGTTTCCCCTTGGTCCCTAGTTGTGCATTGTACCTTTTTTGGACTGATTCAAATTCAAGATGGCAGACAGGTGGCCATCTTGGATTTTGGAAGTAAAAGTTTGTTACTGCTATTTCTTGGAAAGTACTGGATGGATCTTTCTCAAATTTCATATGCAGGTTCCCTTTGGTTCCAAGTTGTGCATTATACCTTTTTGGACTGATCCGAAATCAAGATGGCTGACAGGCAGCCATCTTGGATTTTGAGAGTAAAATCTTGTTACTGCTATATCTGAGGAAGTCCTGAATGGATCCTTCTGATATTTCATAGATATTGGTTTCCCTTGGTCCCTAGTTGTGCACTGTACCTTTTTTGGACTGATTTGAAATCAAGGTGGCCCACAGGCAGCCATCTTGGATGTCGACAGTGATACAGTAATACAACACAAGCATATTGTCCATTATCCACCTGTAACTGACTGCTATCTAATAATACTTTGGGATCTTTTTCAAATGATATTTGCTAATAGGTGCTTAATAAAAATATCTTGTGCCATCATTGAGTACATTCAATGAAGACCAGTTCATGAACATTTACAGCACCTGTAACAAACAAAAAAAAAATAAACAAATCTTCAAGAACTGAAAACAGATCCTCAAATGGTGGGCGCCAAGATCCCTCTGGGATCTCTTGTTATACTAGACAGGTTTGTAATCCTTATATTGTCACATCTTTCCAAGTACCTTCTATTATGTTGTGTATACTGGTGTATTAATGATAAGATACACATTTTTTCATTATCAAATCAAATTTTATTGTTATCACTTTTAAAAGTAAAAAAAGCTGACAGGCTAATAAAATGTACCTAACCTGCTCCTCACCAAGCACTCTATAAGTTAACAAAAATGATACCTTAAATGTACATGCAATGATGCACATAGTTTAGAGTGTAGAAAAGTCCACATACCAATGTTAAGACTGTCAGGACAGATCTAGTTTACAGTGTAGAACAGTCCACATACCAATGTAAAGGCTGGCAGGACATATATAGTTTACAGTGTAGAACAGTCAACATACCAATGTAAAGGCTGGCAGGACAGATATAGTTTACAGTGTAGAACAGTCAACATACCAATGTAAAGGCTGGCAGGACAGATATAGTTTACAGTGTAGAACAGTCAACATACCAATGTTAAGGCTGGCAGGACAGATATAGTTTACAGTGTAGAACAGTCCACATACCAAAGTAAGGCTGTCAGGACAGATCTAGTTTACAGTGTAGAACAGTCCACATACCAATGTTAAGGCTGTCAGGACAGATATAGTTTACAGTGTAGAACAGTCAACATACCAATGTTAAGACTGTCAGGACAGATATAGTTTACAGTGTAGAACAGTCCACATACCAATGTTAAGGCTGTCAGGACAGATATAGTTTACAGTGTAGAACAGTCAACATACCAATGTTAAGACTATCAGGACAGATATAGTTTACAGTGTAGAACAGTCCACATACCAATGTTAAGGCTGTCAGGACAGATATAGTTTACAGTGTATAGTCCACATACCAATGTTGTCAGGACAGATATAGTAGAACAGTCCACATAACAGACAGATATAGTTTACAGTGTCCACATACCAATGTTAAGACTGTCAGGACAGATATAGTTTACAGTGTAGAACAGTCCACATACCAATGTTAAGGCTGTCAGGACAGATATAGTTTACAGTGTAGAACAGTCCACAGTGTAGAACAGTCCACATACCAAAGTAAGGCTGTCAGGACAGATCTAGTTTACAGTGTAGAACAGTCCACATACCAATGTTAAGGCTGTCAGGACAGATATAGTTTACAGTGTAGAACAGTCTACATACCAAAGTAAGGCTGTCAGGACAGATAGAGTTTTCAGTGTAGAACAAACCACATACCAATGTTAAGACTGAATGTGAGCATAAAAAGGCTAATTCTTGACAATGATTATAGCTTCAACAGAATGAAACATAATAAATTATCGTCTTTGTTCATGTTAATTTATGAAAAATTGTTCAAAAAGGCACTTTTTAACTTTAGACCCCACAAGTATTTCTCGCACATGAATAATACAGATATGCTTAAATTGAATCATTCCCACTTTGTGCATTTAGTGTGTAGAAGGGTTTTAATAAAGTTTTCTGTTGTCAAATTAAATGATCTTGATCAGACAGAAGCCAGTTAACACAGAGTTAGACAATCTGTATCAAAGTGATACCGGTTAACACAGAGTTAGACAATCTGTATCAAAGTGATATCAGTTAACACAGAGTTAGACAATCTGTATCAAAGTGATACCGGTTAACACAGAGTTAGACAATCTGTATCAAAGTGATACCGGTTAACACAGATTTAGACAATCTGTATCAAAGTGATACCGGTTAACACAGAGTTAGACAATCTGTATCAAAGTGATACCGGTTAACACAGAGTTAGACAATCTGTATCAAAGTGATACCGGTTAACACAGAGTTAGACAATCTGTATCAAAGTGATACCGGTTGTATCAAAGTGATACCGGTTAACACAGATTTAGATAATCTGGATCCAATGGATACCAGTTAACAAAGAGTTAGGTAATCTGGATCAGACAAATAAACCAGCTAACACATAGGCAAATAATCTGATTAAGACAGAACATAAAATTTAAACATAGATTTAAATAAACTGGATCAGACATTGACCAGTTAGCAGTTGAAAAAAAAAAACATGAACCTGAGCTCACATATGAACCTCTATCCACTCAATGTGGTCAACTTTTAACCTTGATCATTGACTACTAAAATCTAATGAGGTGTAAACCATGGTGGAGCAAAGCTATGTTGTGAATACGAAGTACAACTATCCAGTGCTTTATGAGATATCTTGTACTTAAAGTTTTTTTTAAGCAATGGTTAAGCGAGACCTTTGACCTTTAGCCTTTAAGTGATTAGATACAAATTGGTTAAGATTACATTGACTCCATATCAATACACATATGTTAATGTATTTCTCGTTTGGGCATTTTGTAAACACTGCTGTATTTCTACAAATGTTTCGCAGTAATGTTTCCTGAACACATTTTCCCGAGATTTATATATAAATATATGGACAGCTACATATATAAAAGCAGGTCATTAGTACCAGTATCACATAGAGCATTAATACATCATATTAGATAAATACCATTAATCATATACAGGGCATTACTTCTAGCAAAGTACACGTACCATATTCACACAAATTGACACCCTTCTCCTTCTATCAATCTGTGAATTGTAAATTACCCTTCACAGTGACTCTCTCTTCAACTGAGAGCTACAATCTATGTATAATACTGGTAATTTAAGGATCCTTAGCCTGCTTTCATAGCTTAAGTCTTTCATTCCCAGTGTTTGTTTTGTTGCTCTTCTTTGATGAAATCAAAATGTTTATGTATTTCTGACCTTCAAATTATTTTACATTTATCATGATATAGATG